CGTGCTTTTGAATAAAGTTCCATCATATTTCAACCCTTAAAAAGCGACCCTTATTAGAGATTAATATAAAAAAATTAGTAATGCGAAGAAAATGATTTCACCTTGGAACGATTTGCATAAAAATTTGGAATTAAGCTCAACTCACCCTCTGCTTTATAGTTTATGTCATGCCGATGAACCCTGATTGTTCTTAGGGGTGAAAACTACCCCTAATTTTCAAAAATTGTAAAATAATATTACAAATCTTAAGATGAGTGAAATTTGGTTTGGATTAGTTAAATAGTGAGTTTTTTATACTTTAAAATACAAATTCATACATTTTCAACCCTTAAAAATCAATTGTTATGAGTGCTATAGGTGAAAACCAATTTTTGCCAAAATTTTGCAACTTTTCAACTGTTGAAAATCACCCTTTACAACATTGCAGTTTTTATAAACTAATTTATAAGATATAAATTGAAAAAAGTAGAATTAAATACAAAAAAAATTATCAACATAAAAAGGCACCATATATTCTAATACATTTACATAAATAGTTGAAAATATTTACATTTATAGGTTAGAAACAATTATAATATTAATTTTATTCGTCATCAATTACATCTTCATCGTGATCTACGTCATCCTCATCTTCTTCAATTATTGGTGGACTGTTATTGCACCCTTCACCTGAGCACCCAGAACAAGTAGAGTTACAGTATAAACCAACTTTTCTGCACCCATATGAAACGCCGCATCCTTTTTTGCATTGGCAAAAAATAATTTTCAAAAACTTATCGGCTGCAGGTTGTTTGTTTATGCGTACGAGTAATAACAAACCATCTTTGGAATACCATCCCCAATCTGTTGCTCTGATATTTTCATTGCCAAGCCATAGACATATGAGCAGATGTTTTATTCTGTTGTATGGGATTTCAAAATAAGAACGCTTAAAATTTCGAATGTATAACGCCCCACTAGCTAATATACCGGTTTTGTAGATTATTATGCTCCGAAATGTACTGTACTATACTAATGGAATTTTCCGGAAAAAAATTAACTGGTTTTTTTAACGTATTTCCTTTAATTTTTAATGATAGAGTGTTTCTTCAAAAACGATTTGTAGAGGTTTTTAATAGCTACAAGGATTTGTGAATTAAATCTTTTTGGAACCCTTGGTTTTTAAATGTGGTGAGTTTAAAGGGCTCGAAAAAGATGGTGCTTGATCGTAAATCGATGCTTTAAACGGCTATATCTCGCCAAATATTCATTGTACAACAAATCTAAATAAAGGATAATTTTAGTCATTAAAAAAGCTACAATTTGGTAATTTTTATTTTTTTCATATATTCAGTATTTTCGGGCATATTTAAAAAAAGAAGGGTAAAAAATATGAAATTGTAAATCGTTTCTCGCTTTAAGCTGTACTTTTTCTAAAACTAAGCATTTTAAATGGGTCAAACTTCTTGGACGTATTAACAATACATCTACAAAGGGAATTGCAGAAGGGTGAAGATCGATTTTAATTATGGGGGTGGTTAGGGTGTTGTTTTCCTCGATTTTTTCGTAAAACATGAGGTATTGACCTTATTTTTTTATGATAGGTCTATTTATGCTCTTTAAAAAAGGTTTTGTGAGTTTTCTTAAAAAAATGCATCATTTTCCCGACTTTTGACTTTAAATCTTTCAAATTTGGCATTTGAAGAAAACCGCTAAACATTGATATTGTATTAGTAATTGTATTTGTCTTTTTAAAAGCTATAAATTTGTTCTCTACAATTTTTTTGATAAAATGCACCATTTTCGAGTTATTCGCGAAAAATCGATTAAAAACGTGGATTATTCATCTAAAAGTTGTTACTTTCAATCGCGAATAACTTAAAAAATATCATTTTATAAAAAAAATGTATAGCACATTTTTTGTTAAGAATCACTTTTCTAATCGAAACCTGTAGTTAAAACGTAAAAAAAAATTCACCCCGGAGATGGGGTGTGAAAAATCGATTAAAAACGTTGATTTTTTCGTCTAAAAGTTGTTACTTTCAATCGCGAATAACTTGAAAAACATCATTTTATAAAAAAAATGTATAGCACATTTTTTGTTTAGAATCACTTTTCTAATCGAAACCTGTAGTTAAAACGTAAAAAAAAAATTCACCCCGGAGATGGGGTGGCAACCACCCCTTAGGCTTTGGCGCACTTTGGTTCGATATAGATTTCCATCCTTAGGCTATTACCTACCTTCTGTTAAATTTCAAGTCAATCCACGCCGCACGAAAAAATTGCGAGGTGAAATGCTACATTTCCTGGACTATAACTGGTTTGACAGCATAATAAAATCGTAGATTTATGTGTAGCTTTCAATTTTTATGAGTTCAGAATCTAGCAGCCCGCTGAAGTATGGGATTTTTTATAATATAATTATTTGACAATCTTTTGTTGGCTAACCACCTACAACAGAATTGAGCCGAAGTACATTATATTCCTATGTTCCGAATTTATTTCGTTCAATCTGTATACTATATACGTATATGAAAGTATACAAAAACCAAAGTAACAAAAAGTACCTCTCGAGCATCAAATGCATTTTAAAAGCCGAATTGTGTATTTATTATTCACATTTTTTATATACTCCGTTACGTATAATGTTTAAAAAAGTTTTCAGAAGATTGCTCATAAGCCTTATTATTCGATAGTCTTTACATTGTTCACATAGGGGTTTTTAGATATTAAATCAAAGTTAATCTAAGCCACTGTTGATATATTTTCCCACTTTTGTCTATATATTATTACTAGTAATAAGAGCCCGTGCCGGTCTTAGCTTGTGTAGAGGATGGACGCTGAACTGAGTAGGGATCCTTCAGTACTTTGTGCAAGACAGGCTGGGTGGGGAAGTCATCACAGTGCGGTACCACAAAGTCGCAGGCGAAAATCAATTACTGATTTAACTGGCTGTAATACTGCGAACACTCACCAACCCGTCCGGCAAGCATGGTGTTTTATTGCCAAAATACTACTCAAAACAGAACATGTCGAACATGAAACAAAATGCGACGATACCCAAGGTGGGTAGAGCTAGCAGATCAGAATCCCACACCGGAAAACCGGTCAGCCTCATGGATTCTGGGGGAGGCACAAGCTCAACAAAACGCGCCAAAATAGATACGAACAAACAAAAACAGTTACTACTAGCCACATACAATATCCAATCTATGGCTAAAGATGAAAAGGTCTACGAATTAGAAGAAGAACTATCCAAGATAAAGTGGGAAATTGTAGGATTGTCAGAAGTGAAAATAAGAAGCGAACAATGCATTCACTTAAACTCTATAAATCTATAAACCAGAACTCCTCAAGAATGGAAATCAAGCATTCTAATCGAGCTCTTCAAAAAGGGAGACAAATCACAGCCAAAAAGTTACAGTTCTTTGGTATTATTAGTCAAGTTTTTTCCCCCAACTTTTGTTAGTTGGGCCACCTATGAGATAGAGTCTGGAGGCGAGTTTTTTAGACCTACTTCACTGACAATTTCCAGGTCAGATAATATTGAGCATAATTATATATTTTAAAAGTTGCTGCAGGCTCCAGGTTGCAGTTCCGGATCCAATGCAGTATGGAAGGTAAATGTTTGTGCGAAAGAACGGAAGTTGAAATTGGCGTCGTTGTGAATTTATCTTCCAATTATTTAAATTTTTCAATTAATTTTCATGATGTCTCTGCAGCTCTTACCAAAACAATTGAGGCACACTGCGAGGCATTTGATGTCACTTAAACTCTATAAATCGCTTATACTATATAGGGAAAATAGACGAACCATATGGTGGAGTAGGATTTCTTGTCAAAAAGTATCTCAGAATACACATTTCTACATATTAAAGCGTTTCTGATAAAGTAGCTTATATTATAATAGACCTAGATAATAAAACCAAGATCAAGGTTGTACAAGTGTATGCTCCCATATCAACACATCTGGAAGAGGCAGTTGAAATGTTCTAAGAAGATTTGATAACTGCATTAGAAGAAAATGATACACAATATACCATCATTCTAGGAGATTTTAATGCAAAATTAGGTAAAAAAGAAGAAAATACTGAAACCGAAATAGGAATGCATGGTTATGGCACACGAAATTAAAGATGAGAAAAATTATATAAATTCTTAGAACACCAAAATTTATATGCCACGAACATACACTTCAAGAAACCAGCAAACAGAAAATGGACGTGGATATCTCCAGATAAAAAGACAAAAAACGAGTTCGATTACTTTTTGTGTGAGAACAAAGACATTTTTAAAGATATAACTGCTCTCAATCGATTCACAACGGGCAGCTATCATCGCCTTTTAAGAGCAAGGATTCTTATTAAACAGACGAAAACCAGTAGAAAGAGGCCACGTAATTATTGTAATATGATAGATAGATCAAACTAAAATACGACAGAAGGGAGATAAGTACAGAGAAGTACAGAGAAGTCTTAAAAAAAGAATTTGTAGAACATTATCAACAAGAATATTAGGACATGAACACAATTAATAAAGAAATGCAACGAAAGCTCTTGAAAGCAGGACTGACTGTTGCAAAGAAAATGAAAAATAAAGAAGACTGAATAAGTGAAGGAACAAAACGGTTGACGGAAAAGAGACGCACATTTCTAAGCGAAGGAAAGCGAAACATAAAGGGTTTCAAAGGATTGAATAAATAAATAAAGAAAGGAGTAAATGAAGATTTAAGGATGTATAATAAAAACAAGGTATGTATAAAAAATAATAGAAAAGCACCGAGGCCTGAAATGCTTAAGATCAAATTTAGAAAAGCCTATAATAGTCTCAATAAAAGATAAAGATGGAAAAGAAATAGGAGACAAGAACAAAATCCTAAAAGTTACTTAGACATTTACCGTGGTTTATATTCCTCAAACAAGAACTCAGATAACACTGCAAAGGAAGATTTTAAGAGAAAGATAACGAATGTCAACTCATAAATACACTCTAACATAGAATTCTTCGAAATAAAACAAGCTATGGCACAACTAAAGAACAATAAGGCTCCGGGTCCAGATGAAATACTTGTAGAAATGTTAAAGAAGGGAAATGAAATTATTCTCGAAGAAATGAAAATACTTTTTAACGAATGTTTTCACAGAGGAGAAGTCCCAGGTGATTGGAATGAAAGTTTAACAATACTTCTCTTCAAAAAAGGAGACAGGGGAGATCTCAAGAAATATAGGCCAACCTCTCTGCTGTCCCAAATGTACAAATTGTTTATGAGAGTAATAACCAACAGGTTAACGTCGAAGCTCGATAGCTCTCAACCAGTAGAGCACTCAGGATTCCGAAAAGGTTAGAGTACAGCGGATCATCTTCTTATAGTTAGAACTCTTATAGAGGAAGCCAATTGATATAACTTGAACTTATACATTGGCATCATTAATTATGTAAAGGCATTCGACTTCATAGAACTTTGGGCAATAGAGAGAGCTATGAACAACTGCAGGATGGACTCCCGATACAGAATGCTCATACACAATATTTACAAGAACGCTACAATGAAAATACAAATTGATGTAAAAACCAAAGCTGTACCAATCAACAGAGGAGTTCGCCAGGAAGATGTTATCTCACCAAAGTTATTTACACTTGGAGTTGAAGACGCGGTCAAACACATTAACTTGGCAGATAAGGGAGTAAATGTTAATGAAAGAAAACTGAGTCATTTAAGATACGCTGATGAAATTGTAATATTCACTATAAGTGTCGAAGAACTACAGACCATGATGACACAACTATTTCAAGCTTCAGAAAAAGTAGGTCTAGAGATGAACTTGGAAAAAACAAAAATAATGACAAATACACCGAACATTACAGAAATAACGTTGAACGACATAAATTTAGAAACAGTAATTGAATAACATCTACCTGAAACAGATATAGACAATTAACAAAGAAAATCAAACTCCAAAAATTACCAGAAGAATAATGGTTAGCGTGGGCAGGATTTGGAAAATTGAGTTGAATCTTGAAAAGCACTAAAATAGAACAGTATTTGAAAATAAAATAGTAAAAGCACAAAGAGCGATGTAAAGACTAATGTTCGGGGTGAGACTTATAGACAAAAAAACAAACAAATGGATTAGAAGCAAAACCAAAGTAAAAGACGCAGGAGAACATGCTGCCAAATTAAAATGGAGCTTCGCAGGACACAATGCCCGACTAAAGGATAAGAGATGGAATCACGAAATACAACAATGGAGGTCATGGTTAGAAAAGAGAAGCAGAGGAAGACCACAAATGAAATGAGCTAATGACATTAAGAAGATCGGAGGACACAACTGAAAGCAAGTGGCCCAAAATAAAAAACACTGGATTTATTTGGGGGAGGTCTATATCCAAAGTTGGATTACTTAAAGCTAAAGAAGAATAGAAACCTGAGAAATCTGAAGAATATAACACACCATTGGCATTGATATTTGTGGACTATGGGAACTATTTGGATACTATAATTCACTACACTAACATAATCCAAAATTATGTGGACTAAAAATTAAAACTATCAGAACAAGAAACAAATACATTCTCTATACAGCAAGAATCTGAATACAGTTTGTGTATATGAGTAATCTAAATTTAATTACTTGTGTTTTAAATGTTTTTATTTAAATTGCAACATATCGAGGCATGTATCTTTTGTTGGGGTAAAATGTTGCAACTCAATTTTGAAGCAGATATCTTCAACGGGTTAAGCTGGAGTCTGTTATACTGAAATAAATCGTATAACATAAGCATAGCATAGCATAATAAGGACAAAAAAAGCAAAAATAGAAGTTACGTGGGCAGCAAAATATGTTTATGAAGCAATCAGATACTCATGATTTTGTGTCTTACAAAATTACTAAAAGTAACAAAACAATATCGGATAATAAATTAGAATAAAAATGTTGGTAGGTGTAAGCAACATTATTTGTCCAGAAAAAAAGTAAGAAAAAAATAATTTTGTAAATGTCTCTACAATTAGAATTACTTAGAGACTTTATTATTTGAGAGACCTCTTTAATCAAAACGGGACGAAAATAATAACTTGCTTGGAGAAGGATAGTTGAAGAAATTCTATAGTTAAAAAGGACATCGACATTTTATTAGTGGGAAGAGATGTAATTATATTTTCTGCAATTGTAGTAAAAAATTTATTTATTTCGCCTAGAGGTAGATCAGCTTGTACCAAACTGGATCTTGTATTGTCTCTCTCGAAATTTACTATTTTTCAGCAGTCTCTACGTTCAATATTGGAATTAATAATAAAATCACAGCTGACATTGACTGACAAAATGACATAGCTGACTTTTTAGAATTTTTTAATTGTCGATTATATTTAAATTTTTGTTGTTTATATACTACTACAAATAGGAAACCTTAGTGGCAACTGCAATGTGTTTAACAAGAAAAAAATTAGATCTGTAAGACCTAAATCCAGTATTAAACCATTGCACAGGTGTTTTTTCAGCAGTTTGTCGTACTTTTATTAGTGTAAAATGCTTTAATAATAAGTTGTTATGAGTTTCGGTAAGAGAGGCGGTCAAAAAATTAGGATCAATATTAATATTATAGAAAAAATCCATCTTTATACTAGCTAGCGCACGTTTTTTGCTTTTGTAACTAGAAGAAGTAATAAATCATTAAAATTTTTGATTAGTGTTAACAAATTAATGCTCAGATCAATAAATAAAAATTTAGCTTTATGATTAAAAAAACAAGGTTCAAATACGCCCACTTTGTAGATACTTTCAGAAAAATTTGTCATAATGTTGTCGGTGCAACTACTAGACTGGGATGTGATTCTAGGATAATCGTTTATTGATACTTTTAGACCAAAAGATATTATTAGATTTTGAATATCAAAAGAAGGGTCAGATTCAATTTTAAAATTTATATTAAAATCACCAAGTATGATCAGTTTGTCTGCTTTAGTTAGCAAGGACGTTATGCCATTCTCAAAATTCACTAAAAACAACTCAAAGTCCTTAACCAATCTGTATACAGTTAAAATATTGGTTTTTATTGCACAAAACTCTGAACTTTGCTACATTACATTCATTTAGATTAAGCGGAGAATAAATAAGATTTTGTTTTACATAAATTTCAACTCCACCTTGTTTCATTTTTACTTTACAAAGCAAATTAGCTAATGAAAAGCCAGAGATGCTAATTAATTTTAAATTTTCTTCACTTTACCATTGCGCTGAAAAACAAAAGACGTCATAAACATGTTGATCCGCAAGAAAAGCATTGATCATATCGACATTATTTGAAATGCTCTGCAAATTGACATGACACATGCACACCGTACCTTGTCAAATTAGTTTATTGTCATAAAAGTTTGTTAAAGCTTCTAGGTTTCTTCCTTCGTCTTCTTTATGTGCTGAAAATTTCTTTTGAAGTTAATGCCCGATTTCACCGACGATACCTAAATATTTAAGAATTACCTTAATTATTATTAAAAAATATTAAAAATATAAAATAAAAAACAATTTTCAAGATGTTTTATTTTAAAATTATTTAAATAATGGCAATAAAGCTGGTGGCACTTATCTGAAATTAGATCTAGATAAAAAATGTATTAGGTATACTGTACATTGTAATCAACTCATTTTTAACTTTATTTAATATGCTTTCCGCCTATTTAATATGAAATTTACAGTCCTTTTCTTTTCCTCCATTTCACTAGACGTATATAAATAATTTAAAAAACTAAACAAGCCTTTTTTACAAATAACTAACTACTAATTAAAATAACTATAACACGACAAAACTGAATAAAACCAACTTGGAAAACAAACAATTGAATAACAAATAAAAAAGTAAGGTTGTGACTTCTTATTCTTCTTTTTATTTATCAATGATAGTTCAAACGTACTCAAAGTAATACCTGAGAAAGAATTTCCTAGATAAGCAGTTCTTTTAGTTGTGAAACGCTAGTCTTCCTAAGTATTGCCTTAGAAAGTTATTATTGATAAGAATTACTTTTGACAGCAACTGTTTAGGTATCGTTGGTGAAATCGGGCATAAATCTCCTAACTGCAGTTTCTTTACGCTAAATATTAGGTCTGTAGACTTCGTCTATTTTATTATGTAGAGTATTTGTCAGCTCTATGCCATTCCACGCAGTTAAAAGTAATATCGGTTATTGCCTCACCCAAGAATTTTAGAAGGCTTTCATATTAAAACCTGTGCGAGACACATGTATGTACATGACCTTGTCTAGGAATGATGTTTATAGTAGACGATTCGTTGCTTCCAATTATTATAGGTTGTATTTGTTTTCTTTTTTCGATTAAGTATTCAAAGATGAGCGGTTTTTTTAGATGTGTTTTACTGTGTTGTTGCCACTTAGTCAAATAAGCGAGTCCCCATTAATTACATGTGTTGGGAATATTTATAAATAAAAATATACCAAATAGTTAATAAAACATAAAAATGTTTTTATCTTAATATTACTAAGTGGCTTGGCCACTTGTTCCGAATGGGCAATAAAAGAAATACAAAAAATAACACCTAATGGAGGCTGGCTGAAAATAGACATCTAGGCCACCCTGGTAATAGTTGGTTAACGAGGTTTTAGAACATCGAAGGATAAGGGGACTTCAGATTTGGAGAAGAGTCTCCAACGACAGAACGAAATAGAATTCAATTATTAAATAGGCTAAAACGCCCAGAGGCTTGTAGCGCTAGAGGCAAAAGACTACTTTTGCTATTTTTTCCCCAAGTTATATAAGAAAGTAAGTGAAGGTCAAAAATAAATAAAATTTTAGTACAAAATTATAAAACTTCACAAATAATAAACTATCTCAGAGAAATTGTTTGAAAGTGTTGATGTCTGTATAATAATTATTTATTTGAAATGAGGTTGAATGCTCGAATAAATGAACTTTGAAAAATAAGGCTATTATCGAGCACAAGTTAATTAAATCTAGCCCAAGTACTTTCGCTTAAAATAGCATCTTATAGGGGCATTTCGTCAAACATAAACTATCCGGCAAGCTTAGAATATGGAAGCATTAATAATGACATAAAATTGTACAAAACACTACACTAAAACGAGGACAAACAGTTTAAAATTACTTAAAAGATTCTACGCTACATTCTTTGTCAAAGAATGTAGCGAAGGATAAAGAATATAGCGTAGAATCTTTTAAGTAATTTTAAACTGTTTGTCCTCGTTTTAGTGCAGTGTTTTTTACAATTTTATGTCATTATTAATGTTTCCACATTCTACGCTTGCCGGATAGTTTATATTTGACGAAATGCCCCTGAAGATGCTATTTTATCGAAAGTACTTGGGCTAGATTTAATTACCTTGTGCTCGATAACAGCCTTATTTTTCAAAGTTAATAATTATTTGACTAGGCAGCTAAGAGTTGAAAGTGGTGCATTTAAAACAGATACAACCCAGAAAATGCAGAAGTAGACACAATATGTAGCACAGCTTTTTGAAGACAAAGAGAGAACGGAAACACCAAAAGAATGTAAAGTTGA